ACACACGTGACTGACTCACCGAAGGAATACCCGCAAAAGATGATGCCAAGTTGCGCGAAAATAGTAAATGAAGCCTGACGACGAAGTTTGAATGCGAATAATGAAGAGTTGAATTTGCAAATGATTGCATAGAATGCCGTTTACGAAGGTTAGGGTTTTATCAAATTTGCAAAATCAAAATTTTGGCAAAATCATTTTAATTAGTCAGCTTTCTCTTCACCAAAATTATTTGGATAGATAATCAAATAAAATAAAAAGTTAAACGAAAGTGAAGACTAAAAACTTATTTGAGTTGCAATCATGTAACTAGGAATAACTGAGCCCTGCCTAAATCAAACAATTGAAATGATACAATTAAATTTTTTAAAAATTTTAAAATTTTTCTGTTGTATTTTGTACTAATACCTAGTGAAGAGAGCTCTTACACTAATAACAAATTACATTTAATATTTAATCTTATAAAATAATAATAATTGCAATGCAATCCAAATAAATAATAAATGGAAATGTTAACAACCATTTTATAATTGTCAAATGAGCAATTTTGTAAAGACAAAACCCCCTTGTTATAAATTGATGATTTTTGACTTTAATAAGTTAAAGTTAGCTTGAATCAAAAGATTAAAATTCTTTTTTCCAAATTATCTCTATAATTTCCCACAATAAGCTAATTACATTGTTTGAACAATAATTTTATTCGAGAGCCAACACATTGAAACAGTCAAAATACAAATCTCATTTGGTCTGCCATTTGTAATGATAACAATTTAATTCAATAGAAAATAGTTTTGTGAGCTTACGGATAGCCATGGAACATGACGTGCCTGGATAGCAGAATCAATTCCTTCGCACACACAAATAAAGTCGGGGGGTGCGTGGGTGTAGATGTGCCAAACAGGTGATCATTAGATTTGGCAAGTCGCAAACGATTCGCAACGTATTTACTACATTGAATCGACATTATTACGGAATGGCTGGCTGAATTGAATTGAATTATTATAACAGTTTCTGTTGTCATCGCTGCCAAACAGTGTTGGTGTGTGTGGGTGCTACTATCTGTGTGTTCGCGCGTCAATAATGTGCCTTTATGTATCTCTGTATCTGTGGCTGGCAAGTACGTGACAGACGCGGTTTGGCACGATTAAATTACGTTTATGATTATATTTTTGTTACAAACACAATTCCGCAACACACACACGCTCACATAGTGTCATAAACAAACGACACGCACACACATACACAGACTCAATCAAGAGGGCCATGTCACATTGTATTGAAGTGAAAATGGTTAACAATTGCGGCGGGAACAACAACAATACACCATTGATGCATGTTCGTGATGGATTTTCCTATTAAACGTTCACCGCGCCCAACTAAACAAAAGCCTTAATTGAATTTTAATTTAATAAAGAAGAGGTTGCACTGCAGGAAAGACACGAACTAAAATCTATCAAAATAATAGAATTAATTTTAAGTCGATTAAAAACCATTAAACCACTTCTGTATTCTTAGAGCATATATGTGATTGATCAGTAGAGTTTTGCTAAGGCAATATAAAGAGAATAGAAAGAATATCTCAGCAATTATAATGTATTTTTTAGGTGCCTTTTTTTCGACCAGATAATAACAAAACATACATTAAATAAAATTTTTATATTTCAAGAACTAATTTTGTTAAGCAAATATTTTTTATTTGGTAAAATTTTTTTTTTAAATTCCATATTTTTCTCAGTACATTCATTTAATATGATTGACGTTTTTCCCTTGTTTTTCACAAAGCATTAATAAATTGCTAATAAACGTATGTATTCTGTAATAAAATTAGGCTTTAATCATATTTTCAAAGTAAAAATCAACAACTCTCTGTTTTATGGTCAACGTTTATGACCTATTTTTTGAATATCCATAACCAATTATTCCTTATTTCTGCTGTCTTCATTTTCTTCTCTTTGCTTTTTCTTTGTGCAAGCTTTATTTTTGCCCTCCACTTCGACATTCACGAGATTAAACGCACTTTATGCAAATGGGCTCAAACACTTCTGGCAATCTCAACACTTTTGAGCTCCAAGGAGCCACTTGAACTGCACCTCGAAGTTAACCTCTCGATGCTCTCGTCTCATCTTCACTACGGAATCCTGGCCTCCTGTCCTCCTGGCATTAAATATCATTCCGGCTGACGCTTATTGCTTATTGCAAGCCGAGAAGACCGAAGCAACAAAGGATATCGCAGTGGTGCTTACACATAATATGAAATTAATAACAATCATACGCCACGTTGCCCGCCAGCGAGCCCGTTTGCCAAAGCCATTGCCATTTGCCACTGACAGGCGCATTTGGGTTCATAAGTTCTGTTCGCGAAGATTTCTAAAACTGTCAGAAATTGCAGTGAAATTACACAGGACATCGGAGAGGGTAAAAACAGGAGGCCGTGGAGCGCAGCTGCCAGAATGCTTATTAAAATATAAATATGCTAAAACAAAAAGCGCGTGCGGACGCCAAATGGACGAAGGGCTTTTTTCGCCCAGCGAGAAGAAGGGAAAACAAAACACCAAGACACGGAGAGCAGCGTACCGGGCAAAGTTAAAAAACTAAAGTTTTATACTATAAAATAATTTCAACTACTGAAATAAGCACGCGCGCCGAGTGCGAAGAGGGAAATCTCGAACTGCAAAAAATAAAAATAAAAACGGAAAAAAAAGAAACAAAAAGCGAAAACAAAAATTTACTACACAACACAACTAAAGTGGAAATTTCATGCGCGCTATGGAAACTTTAGCACTTTCGCCCACCGCCCGGAAAACTCCATCCCCCGGGAAACTCTGACAACCAACAACAACTACTATACTACCGTTCGTACTAACCATGCCAAGTAGCCAAGGCAGAAAGCAAAGTTGTTCCTTGCAAACAATGCGCAGTTATTCTTTTGTCGAATTTCGGACCAAGGTTATTTCGATATGTATTATGCAGAACTCTGCGCCCGAGCTAAGGAATCTGCGTTAAGAAAAATATTTAAAAACAAACTATAGCAGCAACAGTAGCAGCAATCCATAGACTTGGCTAATACATTTTTGATGGACTGCAGGGCAGTTCGGTGGGCATACCCACAGTTATCATTCGATTTTCATTAGTGAATGCACACAAAGAATACCAACCAACTTCGGAACGAGCGATTGCAATTAAGTAAACATTCTGGGGCCGAGCCTGCTTCGAAAAGAGATTTTGCACTCCAACCACTCCAACAATCAATCAATTAGCCAATTAGTCGACAGACCCATCACGCTCATCAATTCCCATGCAAAACTAACTAATTTGCGCACACAGCTAATCAAATTTAATTAAGACATCCAGTAAACATCGTGGCGAGCCGAGAACCAAAGGCTTTACGCATACGCCTCCATTTACCTGGGCAACAATTGAGGCAATAAAGGTAGTAATAGTTCAACTATCTAAGAACTCAAAAGGAATTTGGGAGATTTGGGAATTTGCAGATTTGGGAATTTGCAGATTTTGGCATTATAAAATTGATATTATATAAAAACAAAACATATTTATAAATATAACTGGCAAGGGAATAATCAATTTGGAAAATATACTACTTACATGTTAGTCCTAAAAGCTTTGAAGTTTTAATAATAAAATTCAATAAATTATAAAAAATCATCAAATTATAAAAATTTGCAGGAAAAGGTTCAACTTTTTGTCGCGTCTGATTTACTTAATAGACTTCCCTAATTTATTTATTATTAGTATAGACCGCATCTTCTCTATTAAGTATTTACATAATTTATAATAGAAAAGACAAATGTACAAGTTGGTTTAAATTGTTATAAACTTACATTTGACAAAACGTATAATGTACTATGTAAAGCCTTACAAACTAATTTCTTATATTATGCTAAATTCTGCATATTGTTTTAAGGCCTACTTACACCATATCAACCGCAACTGTACCGAATGCAATCTACGGGACTTGAAGCCCATTGTCTGTTTGATTTACTGGTGAAATATGGTCTTTGTACACGAAAGCAGGCCAACGAAACTAAACTCGTTTCAAGTCCTAACATTTTCGGTTATCAATGCAAATGCGTTGCGTTGTTGTTCGTTGTTCGGCGTTGGTGTTGCCGTTCAAAAAGTGGGCTCCACCGCAAAAAGGCTTACCTGCAGACAATGCGTTCCACGCCCCCGCGGCTTTCATCGGCATTCATCGGTGGTATATATAGGATACTCCCTGGCCATGGCAGTTGTGCTTTTGTTCGAAACTTTGAGCCCCGGTGTTACCTACCACTGCCTGCAGTTGCGTGTGGGTAAATAAATGGGTTGAAATTCCCCCAAATCGGTCGGACCTTGGGCAATTTTAGAGTTCTTTTATTACCAACTTGTTAGCTGTTTATTTGGCGCATTATTGACTCAACCGCTGCTCGCGGCCGAAAAACCCCAAGCAATTCCAGGACTACGCCTAGTGTGCCCCGGATATGGATACGGAGTCGTGCGTTTAGATAATCAACTAAGCACTTCATTATTCTGTTCCGGGGGAAAAGGGGGGTGCAAATTGCTCTTCCACTTTTAGCGAAATGTGGGGAAATGTGCGAAAATCCTCTGGCTTATTTCGCACATTACCCATGCACGCTTTTTCCGCTGCTTTCCACCCCATTTTTCCCTGATTTTCCTTTTTTTTTAATTGAATGATAAAACATCGCTGCACAGCCTATTCCGATTCGCAGTGAGAGGCATTAATTTAGATTAGCCAAACGAAAAGTGCGAGTTGAATGTTCTCAACAGGCTTTCTGTGTGTAAATAGTTGTTGAAAGCCCTGAATCAGATTGCATGCATTGAGTACTGGCAAACAGACGTATGAAGGTGCTGAGTGAAAGGTTGCCTAATAGGTTAGGATGCCATTACATTTTAAATAACATTAAAAGATTGCGATAAGAGTGTAATGGAGATGTGGAAGGGACTAGGTAAAACGGAAGAATATAATAGGTTATTGGAGGGCATTGATATTAAATCTAAGCATTTGCTTTATTTAGTTTACACTTCAGTTACCAAAAATAGTTCCCACCGGAAAGATGATGATTTTGCGATGGCCATTTATGAGCAGCGTTTCATAGTGATACCCCCGTTTCATACAGGCACTATATTTGCGCAACTCGAATGCCCGTTTGATGGGCTCCATGTCGACCCTAAAACAGTTGACCTTAAAAGTATCGAAGACATTCATCATGCCCACCACTTCATAGACGCTGGACACCCTTTCGTTCCAAATGCTAACCGATGCGATGGGCAGGGGATATTCCTTTCGATAGATCCGAGTGGCCTCAAAGGGGGTACGAAAGATGTGCATGGTAATAATGCCAGTGGGTCCTTCGCCCAAAAATTTATGTGGAATATCCCGCACCAAAATGGGCGTGGCATCGGGCATTATCATATCAGAGGGACCTACTATTGTTTTCGGTTTCAGTTCAGCAATCTTGAGAAGAGAACGTTTGTAGCAAGGATGATTTGACACCCTGCTATCCAAGGGTTTCATTAGAGTCACCACTCGACATTCGAGTTCTTCCATTAGACTTTCCTGTACCAAAAGTACTGCCACCGCATCCAGGGCAAAAGGATCCTGCAGAGATTCTACAAGATAATGAAGCGCACAATTGAGATCGCCATCCGAGAAAATAACCATCATGCATGGTGCATTCCAGGCGTACTTTTCATCGACATTTTCAGACTCCTCTGGTTGGTCCTCATCTTCTAACTCAGCTTCCATCTCGGACTGCTCCTGTTCACGTCCTTCGGACTCTATTGTTTCATCAGTTTTAACCTCTTGTTTTAGGTCAGCCCCTACGATATCTGGCAATGTTATTGTATTCACTGCAACACTGGGTAAAATTTGAACCATTTCTCGAGTTATTACCGGCTTGTACAATAAATCATCGGTCGACATAATTTATTCTGATATTTAATGTTTTCGAAAGTTTTAACTTCCAAATATTTAATTTGTTATTTGGTTCTGATATGAAATTGAAAGTATACTGGATGTATATTCATCTAAAATCCAATCATTTTTTTAAATTTTCGAAAAAAGCTGTTCTTTTTTTTTTTTAATTAAAAATCGCCCAAGGAAGTGACTAATTTTGAATAATTGATACAAAGTACAATGCAAGTTAAACCAAAACTATTCATAAAATAAAAGAGAAATTCTAAAATGTTTGTCTTGTGTCCCGGATAAGTATGTGTCGAATAAATATAAAAAATCGTTTGATGTTTGCTAAATATAAACCTTGATTATCCAGAGATTTTCCGCTTTGAGTTTGCTATTTGGCATATGAATTTGCGATTTTTCGACAATAACTGGCCAGTGGCAGTAAGCAAATCACTTGCTAAGCTCGCATGTATGACATGGCTTTGGGGCCTTTGCCAAATAAATATTAATGAAATGCATTTCATCAACGATACCAAATTACAAAATGTGAGCAGAAGCAGACCTGAGGCCATGTTAATTCTTGACCGGGCTTCACAAAATCTTAAATGCAATTACGCACAGCATTTGTCGAACCTGCTTTGGGCTGCAGGAGCAGTTAAGCTCAAGTTGACCCATTGTCAACTAATTGACAAATGAATGACTTGACTTGCTTGACAGCATTTGATTCGATGTTGGAACCGAAATCGCAGCCAAGATCTGAAAACTGAGAATGAGAACGAGAATAAGCCTGAGCCAGGACATCAGCATTTTACACTCATTAAGTTTAATTACACATTTTGCAGGGCCGGTTCGGGCATTCGAAACTAAAGCTCCTGCAGATGAATAAAGATTACCTCACTTGAGTGGAACAATGGAGCTCCTTTGTGTCGGACTAAATTCAAATCTTAATCAACCCTCAACACTTTTGCAGAGTGGCATTAGAATATAAGAATGAACAGTTGAGCGGATATACATTGTTTACCCCTAAGAACTTCAGCAATTCTTTTAGCAATTAAGTTTTCAAGCTCTTAAACTATTAATCATATGAAATAATTTACATATAAATTATGTATTGCGATTAAATATTTCTCAGAAGGCTTTCCAAATTCGTTTATATGCATAAATTGTTGTTATCATTTATGTTATTATGTGTGACTGCATTAATTATGTTTGGAAATGATCGATTGTCTGGTTAATATTCACTGCAACTCCCATCAATGTAACCCCTTTAATGAGTAGCTCTTTAGGCGTATAAAACCAACCCATATAACAAATCATTAAACGTTCATTTTGTTTAACGTTTGGCAACACGAAAGGGAATCGGAGTTCCTTCTGGTTACAACAACCTTTACAACCAAAATTTTTGCGCTTCGATGTCAGGCAGTAGGATCGTAAAAACGATGCTCGTTAGAGGCAAAGTTTTATGCGTTTTATTACACAACCCAAGGAGGTATGTTGCGACCTCAATGTCGCCTTTTGAAAGCAGGTTCAGTGTTGCCAAGTTGGCTATCATTTTTAGAAAAATAAGCTTAAAGAAAATGTCAGAAGAAATCTTTATTGTTGGAAAAGTTTCTAGTTTCAAAGGGTTTTTAAAAATTCATTTTAAACAAGAAAACACATATTCAAAAAAAATTAATATTAAATCGAACAAAGTAAATATTATATAATTTTATATAAAATTGAATTTATTTTAAATTTGCCTATTTTTGTAATGCGTTTTCTACCATTTTTGTCAGCACTAAGCAGGCCCCCCAAAGTCTCTCGACGCACGTAAAACCAAATCAGGCGAATGGACAAAACACAAGGGGGGGTGTGCTATCGCTAGTAGATTTTATCCAGTCCAAGCTGCATGATTGCATTTTATGTTTGTCTTAATTTTTTATGTCTACTTTGCGAGTGCGAGGCCATAAATAAAGCAACAATCAATTTTCATACGCACTCTTGTGCGACATCGCACGCAACTCGAGTCGTAAAAATGGCAAGGAAACCGAGAATTGTAATCGTATATTTTAACATAATATTATTGCACACCCAGATGTGGACAAAACTGGCATTTTCTCACACCCCTCTTTCCTCCCATTCAGCCCACTCACTTAAACATCATTAAATATGAAAATTCATCTGCAATTTATCAATTATTTATTTATGGCAATGCTCCTCTTGCATTTTACGCATGTGTTAATGAATAATTTTCTCGTTCTGCCCGTTGCTTGGTCTTTTCCCTGCCCCCTGCTCTTAACCATTTTGCGTGCCTGAATGTAAGTATGTGTTCTGTCCAATTCAGTTCAATCAATTCACATTCGCTTTTGCATTTTTATTGCACTTTGCCGGTATACAAAATAAAATAAGAAAAATTGGCAGTAATTCGACTAAAAAATACCTGGTATTTAGAATTGTTTTTAAAAGTTTTTGCATAATATATATGCACAGTAGTTAAATTTAATATAATTTTATTTGAGTGAATTGTACGATATCAAAAATAAACTTTACTTAAAATGCAAAGTAAAAATACCCATAAATAAAGTATATCTATGACATAAAAATTGTCAAAAATTAAAATTTGTTTTGTTAATTATCGTATAAAAGATTCGTATTATAAAAGACTTTAATCTTCCTGTTCCAGAAAAGATAATATATCAAATACAGTAATAAATGTAAAAGAATATACTTTATGGATGAAAATCAGGCTGAGTTCGAGTGCCCAGGTCCCATTTCTCAAATGTCGCACATTAATGCGCATGAAATTTTCGTTGTTGTGCGTTATTTTTATTGCACAAAAGAGCAGCAAATTGCATGCGGGCGAATGTGTGAAGACAGCAGCTGCCAACGAACTCGACCATTGCTGTATCGTACTTTTCCAGCTCCAGCTCCACCTACAGCTCTCCATCAGTCAGTCAGTGTATTTGTGCACTGGGGATGGGTCGTCAACGTGGCATTTTTCAATCAAAATACACACAATTTGCAATTTAAATGTTGATTCCGTTAATGCGGCGAATAACAATGAAATGAACACATATGGGCACTGCTTTGGGCTTTGGCACCGGTTTTTTTATTGAACTGAAATAAATAGTTTATGTAGAGTTCGCACTTGAGGGTCTGCGGGTTAAGTTTTGTATGGTTTTGGTTTTGAGGATTCGCATTGGATATGTGACGCGAAATTCCCTGCCTGGCTGCGTTTTATAACGAAGATGAATTGTAAATTGCATAGCAAATTAAATCAATTTTAATGGACATTGCTTATGTATTCGACAAATGCTTATTAAGCATTCATTATAAGCGAACCGCACTTTTATGTGTGCAAGCGCGCATCGGAGCCATAAATTGTGAGAAAAGTATGGCCAGTTAAGCGGCTTATCAATGTTTGCAGATGCGTTGGCCATGGTAATTGAGTGCTGTTAAATCCGTTCAAATCCATGTCAACTTAAAATGAATTAAAGCAGGCCTTGATGAAGTTTCCAATTTTTGCCTCTCTTTATTTCGATTTTTGAATTGAAATTGAATTCCTATTCCTAAATCGTGATTTAAAATTTGCAATCTAAAGGGTTGCTTTGAAGGTTTTTAAAAAGTATATATAAGTATTTAACTAGTTAACACTTTTTCATTTTTTTTTGGGAAAAAAGGCAATCATTATTGCATTTTTTTGATTTCTTTTTATTATTAAAATTTGTAAAATCAGAAATGTACGTTTTTGCCAACAGCACCACTAAACAATTTTAAAATTGTATGGTATCTTGAAAGCAGGAAGGGTAACCGTTCATAATAGTCAAACCATTAAAGTTCATTGTTAAAACAATAAACACTTTTCTGGGAAATGTTGAAATACAGACTAATGCAATGCGGTTAAGATACTATTGAGTCTTAGACACCCTTAAAACGACAAAGAATATATTATTCTACGCCTGTATTCGCATGTTCTGAGGGATCTATTTGGACAGAGTGCTCCAGCTGCACGCTTCCGCAGTTATTAGTCAGTAGGATCCTTTCGCTGTTTCATCAGCCATCACACACCATTTGACAACTTGCTCAACACTTTCCATCGCAGCGGCGCAACTTGACGTGTGGGCAAGTGAGTGGGTGACTGGATGACTGGCTGACGGGATGACTGAGTGGTGCTGTGAGTGGTGCGGTGAGAGGTGCAGTGAGTAAGCCCGGGAGCTGGCCATGTCTTCTTCGTCGTCAGCTAGCAGTCAGCAGCCATCAGCCAGTCAGGCAGCAAATGAGCAAAGGGAAAATTACATTTGGGACGCCGGCGTGTCGCCTCCATTGGCACGCAGCAGCAGCCAGCCAATGCACAAGTTTTTTCCGCTCTCCCACTGCCAGCCATCGAGTGCAAATTAAACCGAGCAGCGCACGGGGTTAATTTCACATGCATTTCACTGGCAATCAGTGCGTGCTCCACTCAACGGGTAATGCTACACGGGGAGAAAACACTTGAACTAGCTATTCGAAATCTGTCACACGCAGTCATTAGATTTCAAAGATTAAAGTTTTATTAAGTCAATTGGTTCTTTAAACTATTGAGTTATTGGTTTTGATTTGTCATGATTTTTACGATTTGTAATGACATTAGACGGTTATACCGTTAAATTTCCATACTTACTATGTGCAATGATTTTTATTATAATTACCATCTTATGAAAAACATTTTAAATTAATACTAATATTTTAAATATTTTCGATCTTTTTACGAAAATCCATTTATATTTAAATGAAAAAATATTAAAAAAGAAATAATATATATAAAAATTCCATTTGATTTGAGATGTAAGGAAGTTTTTGGCTTTCTTCTTAAGGACAAGTATTATACAAATAACATCAATGTGAGACGTAAATATTTAAGGCTAATATTTCTCCCAGTGTAGAACTAGTATTGGTGGTGCCTGCCCTGGGTGCCAATAGCTGTGCTGTTGGAGGCACTTAGCCCAAGCTACTTACACTGCGCTTTGACTGCCTGATGACTGGCGAGGGGCAAATGGTGATGGTGGGGTCGTGCTCTAATCCGAAACTCATTTTCCACCCCGCCGTCACACTCTATCGAAGGGACAGG